TCTGAGGAAACAAGACCAAGCTGAGAAGTTGGCCAGGTGAAGTTAGCTGTGGCTTGTTCTGTCTCTCTGATCTTCCAGTTCACCCCAATACCTGCCTGGGTTTGATTTTATTAATAAGAACTTCTAAGATTCCCTCTACATTCTCATTTCCTCCTAAGTCTGGCCAGGCCTGTTACACACTTTCAGACACATCTTTCAGGTGAGCCAGTGGTGCCTGTTGGCTTTGGTGAACTGGAGCTCCGCAGAGACACCTGGGAAAGCTGGAGGAGGGCTCTGGAGGACTGGTTCAGTGTGGGGACAGGGAGGCCACCACAGGTTAAAAAGATGCTTCAGTACTGGTGCCAAGGAAGAGGACAAAATCACACCCTGGGGCACCAGGCCTTGGTGCACATCAGCTCACTTCCTGGACATGGCTGGGGTCACCTGACCCTAAGAGGCAAGAGCATATCCTCACAATGACCATCAATCAGGCCTTGGTGCACACCAGCTCACTTCCTGGACATGGCTGGGGTCACCTGACCCTGAGAGGCAAGAGCATATCCTCACAATGACCATCAGGCCTTGGTGCACACCAGCCCATTTCCTCGACAGGGTCGCCTGTGGGGCGGCTTCAGCTCCTGTTCCTGAAGCACTGAAGAGAAGTAGCTGTGAAGACGACCAGCAGGCAGCAAGGAAGCTCCTTTAAACCTGGGTCTGTCACCTCTCAGACCTCCACTCCACAGGAGCCTTCAGATGTCAGCTGCTCAGTGGGGTCGACTCTTCCTGTGGTAAAGCTCAACTGCAGCTGAAAGCGGAACTGATCTTTCTGAGCAGGCCTCGTGGGAGACGAGAATAAGGTCAACCAACGGGGTACTGTGCCAAGGTGTGGTCACACGCGCCTCAGGCCGAGGTCCCAGCGCCTTCCTCTCCAGTCTGAGATGAAGAATCTGGATGCCAGCTCCTACTAAGATGTCCATAACCCAAGGGTGATTCTCCAGGAATCACCATCCAGGTGTGAAGTGGACAGGGCAGGCGGGACAAGACCTCTACTCATCCCTCATCCGTAAGCAATGAAACGGAGGCTGTCAAGCTCCACTAACAGACGAAGGCTGGCTCCACGGGGTGACCACCCACCTTCATTACCCAAATGGACAGGGCTGGAGTGTGGGGGGGGCCAGGGGCCAGGAGAGACCACGCGTGGAGAGCGGGGTAAAGAGCAGGAACAAGGAGGTGGTCCTGGGAGCCACTTGAGAATGAGGTGATGGGGAAAGCCAGGGGCATGCGACCCTGCCAGCTCCTCCCACAGCTTGAGGAAGGGTTGTTACAGCACACAATTAGTGTGCTGCCCTATGGCTGCTTTCCCACAATGCAGTAGCACTCCGTCGTCAGGGTAGCCACTCCTCACACTAATCTCAGAAAGCAAACACCAGGGGAGAGGACAGTGAACGGCAGGAAAGGAGGCTGAGCAGTGCCCCAGGATTCACAAGCTGCTCAATCAGGTCAGAGGCACAGGCCGGCTTGTTGGGAGAGGTGGCAGTGTGGTGGAGAACCACAGAGGGGCCCGGGGGTGGTTAACATGTTTTCAGCACTTCCTGGGTGGGGAGACCTCAGCGCCTCTCCTGTGAACTTCGCCCATCCCTTACAGACCACTATGAGGGCGGAGCTACCACTGCGCCCATTTTAGAGATGGCAACCTGAAGCCTAGGAAAGAGGTCCTATCTAAAGCTGCTCAGCTGGTGAGCAGTGGGGCGGGGACGCTCTTTGTAAGGGACTTTCTGTCCAACACATCTGACTCGGGAGGCTCAAGCCCAGAGCTACAGAGCCAGCCCTGTACCGACTGCACCAGAGAGCGCTTGGGCTGTTGCTCTCCTGCACTGCTGGAGCCCTGGTGTCCGGCAGCCCTGGGTGAGCAGATTTTCTCAGGAGGTGCCAATGTAGGGCAAGCCCTGGTCTTCCGAGTACTTAGAACAGGAGTCTCAACACTCTGGAATCACAACTGTCCACTGCACACTAAGGATACCATCCTCTTCTTTATTTCCTATTTTTGTTTGTTTGGGTTTTTTTTTTTTCAAGACAGGGTTTCTCTGTGTAACAGCTCTAGCTGTCCTGGAACTCCCTTTGTAAACCAGGCTGGCCTCGGCTACATAGGGATCCACCTGCCTCTGCCTCCCAAGTGCTGGGACTAAAGGTGTGCCACCACTGCCTGGCCCTTATTCCCTATTGTATTTTCACGTTTTCTTGTCTTTCTTCTGGTGCCAGGAATGATACCCAGGGCCTCAGGCTGAGCGGGCGTCTATCACTGAGCTGCAGTCCCAGCCTTTACCTGGTTCATTTTCTTTAATTTTCTTTTTTTTTTTTTAATTTATGTGCACTGGTGTTTTGCCTGCATGAGGGTGTCCAGGTCCCCTGGAACTGGAGTTACAGACAGCTGTGAGCTGCCATGTGGGTGCTGGGAATGAACCTGGGTCCTCTGGAAGAGCAGCCAGTGTTCTTAACCGCTGTGCCATCTCTCCAGCCCCCGTTTCATTTTCTAAGGTAAGCAAAAGCTAA